AGCAGCAATCGCAACAGGTATTATCGAAGATATTGAATGTTGTTGATGCGATTTTGTAGTTGTACCTGTAAGAATAGTATGTGGATGATCGGGATTCGTATCAATCCACAAGGATGTCATCAAATGATTATCATCACCGATTTTGTTTCGGAAAACAGTATAGAGAATAGTAGAAATCATTGTACAGGAGATAACAATCATTCCAGCAAAGAGACCTTTGATGGATGCACGACAATTGACTATGAAAACATTTTTTGTTGATTCTTCATCCGATATGTTATGCGTAAATGTTTTCCCGATATTTTCCCAGATGAGAAAGAACAGCTATGTAGAATCGGTTAGAATGCATAGAAATAAGCTAGAAACAAGGAGAACTTACCGTAAGACACATGAGACTGAACTCGATTGTACATGGATATAGAAGTGGCTTCAGTCTCATGTAACCTTTGAGGATGAAAGTAGTAACTAGTGTCCCGTTGGCAAATAAGTTTGAACATTCCGAATGGAAAAATAGTTGACGATGAAGAAGATTAATTGTGTCTTGACTGGCTGATTTTTCTATTCAGAAAAGTGTATGAAAGATAAACAAAAACTGATGATGATGAATGCTTACCATTATTAAAGTGACTAGCCGTAATACTGTCTTGTGTCACAACCATTTCATGACCATTTATTTCCACAATTTGCGATTTTGTTTCAATAACGACCATGTGAAACCTGTCAAAATACATAATGAGACATTATCTTATGATAATAAAATCTCGTAGAAATATGTTACGATGAAATGAAAATCGTTTGTGATCAAAGTTTGAAATTATGAAAATTAGAAACAGCTAAATTATAGATGACGGTTTATATCATAAAGAAACATATCTTAATACTGTAAGAAACCAATAGATCTTTTACAGAACGAAACATTTCACTATTCTACTTTTCGAAAATGATATTTGCATCAATGAACACTTGAAAATGAAAAAAAAGGTCTTTCTCATTATGAGTGACAATGGACCTACCATACACATAAATTGGTGACCACAATATGGATGACTGCCAATCGAGCTAAATTCTCGTGGGCTCGAATAATGAGCTAAAAAAATAGTTAATCTTCGACTTATCTTTTGATATTATATTATTTCAGAAGAACATACGTTTGAATGTTTAAAAATAAAGAAGAATTGAACGAGACTGAAGAGCAATCGTGAGAAATTGTGTATTACAGCTGTCCATCGTGTACATGAATGATTTTCCAAATTAGTTAGAATCGATAGACTCGAATGAATCACTGTACCGATACAAAAAACTAAAATGATCCTTTTAAATGGTCAGCAGTATCTCATAGTTTTTGTTCAGCTTACTTCCGATGCCTACACGAGTATAAAGACCGCCAACGACGGAATTATCATCATAATTGTAACCAATAATGTGTTGGACAATACTGTTTTTTCGATGGAGTACATAGGTTTTGAGATCATGTTGTTCGGTTGTATCCAGAGCGCGTCGTCTAGTAAAGATATCTCGTGTCGTATCCGTTGATGGTTTCGTTACCAATGATCGATGCGAGAGATTACCCAAAGATTTCAATTTGTTACGATGATCACGAAAACTAAATGTATCATCATTGTTTGTTGATGGTTTATTGCCGCTTATCTCTGATTGTACATTGTCGTTGTCATCTAATTGATCTTTTATGGATTCATCAAATAATGGCAAATTGATATAAGATGTAATCGATGATTTTCGATTTGCTTCTGACGATGTTGATATAAGCTTATTTCTTGCAAGACGAACATCACCAGTTAAACTCGTCTGGTTCGAATTCAATCTGTTCAAAGTACTTCTGGGAATTTCAACTTTGCGACGATGACGAATGATGTCAATAATACAGAATATAATCCAAATGATGGATACCCAATATAGATAGATAAAGTAGATCTACAATGAAGTGAGATCGATGTTGTTAATGAGTCTCAGTTCTTTTTGAAATGCATATATTTACCTCAGCTAAGTGTTTGATAATTTCAGCTTCGACTCTTGATACGATAGCATGCGAAATTGAAAAGGCCACACCACCGATGAAGACAACTAAAGAATTATAGTTTGTAGTTCAATCATAATAGATCGAACTAATCGTCTCGGTATCTTGGGAGAAAGTTTAATTGGAGCAAAGCTTGACTTAATATTTACAAAAGTCCGAGTAGAGAAAAGAGTTGTTTGACTGCTTGCTATTTTTCTAGTTAGAGCCTATCCATGAGTTCCTTTTCTCTTCATTCCAATTATTCTACTCTTAGTCGAATACGATAACACTACGATGATCTCTCTAGTCATAGCATTGCCTTACAATATCTGATTTGAAATTTCTCGTCTTCGGATTGGAAGATTCAGCTTTTGTGATACATTCTTCAATGTCATTGTCGATTGAGGAAGGTCCACATTTTATCGCTGATTTTAGTTCAACACTGAATTTCAGTCAAAAAAAAGAGAGCTGAATCGAAATATTAGGATTTATCGATATAATATTTCAGCATAAAATCATTTTAAATGTAGTTTTCGAATAATGTAATCGATTATAATCTGATTAGTCACTCCAAATTTTTACATGGGTTGACTTCGTTTTGAGGCATTTTTGACTTCACTTACTCAACTCTGCGTCTGCTATCTCTACCTATAGTACGGGATTCGAACTACGCCCATTTTCTAGGATCTTTTGCTTCTTACATAAAAGATCACTTTTATCATCACCATAAAGGTATGAATCGATTAGTATATTGTCTATATCTCGAAAAGGCAGAGAATAATCATTATCATTCATTTCAGTAAAGTTTGTCTTTCACATAACCACCAAAATGACCTTATTAAGTTAAAATCATCAAAGTACCAAATTTGACTAAATAAAGCAATATTTCGAGTCCTATTCAAAATAAAAATCTAACATCAAAATCAAATTCAGCGTTCAAAATCGATTATATCTATCTATGTCTCAGAACAGTTCGGCTACTTTTATTTTCGTTGAAAAATTCAGTTCAGATTCTCTGAGGGATGAATCAAAAACTAAATTCAATCAAAATATTGGCCTGAATGTCATAGCATTGGTCATGATTCTTCCTCTCTGTCGTGCCCTGTCTCTTTGTCATGCTTGGTTCTGTACCAATTATGCTTTTTTTCTCTCTTGTTTGCGTGTCTTGTGCGTGTGCGACTTCTTCTTATGGTATGTGCATGTAGGTTTTTTCGCTCGCTGTTGTTCTGGGATTCAGTTTCAGTCGTCGTTTATGTTCGTTTGATAATAATACAGATATATGAAAGAGCCATCACACTGGCTTTCATAAAAAAATACTCTGAACCTTAGAAAGTCTGAAAAAGTGAAAATAGCAGATTGATGAATAACAAAAATGACATTTTGATTGAATTTAATTGTTTTTATCGATTCGTAAGGGGGATCCAGGCTGAACTTTTCGACGAAAATAAATGTAGTTGGAACATTGTGAGATATACATTGGCACTCAAAATTATTCATATACCTGAAGAAAACGATAGAATTACGGTATCTCTGCAAGAATCCGACTGTTTGAACTGTAGCTTTCCCGAAAATGTAGCCTGATGTTTGTAGCCCATTTCATACAAGGTTTTATCAAAATCTGCCAGAAAATGATTGTTTCCAGATGAAAAAACAAAAAAATCATATCTTTCAGTTTGACTCAATATTATTCATACCCTTCATAAGAATGAATAGAGTTCGCGATCTTGTACTATATCTTTCTGATCGTAATAACACTTTGAAAATGTGTGTCTCAGGAAGTTTTCACATGCTTCCGTTAGAAAAACTGTTTTCATGTTGAAAGCATTTACAACGGTAATACATCAAATCTTTGAAGTCACGAATTTACATATAATTATTTCTACATAAAGTGTATGAATAAGTTTGAGTCAAACGGAAAGGCACAATTTTTCTTGTTTGTCATCTATAAACAATCATTTTCTTCAGGTATATCAATCATTTTGAGCGTTACAATTGAAGATACTTTATTGCGCGCTTTTGATCAATGCCAAACATGACTTACCCAAACCATACAGAATGCTAAAGATCTTGTATACATCTGCGTTCTCATAATTGGTTCTATACAGAAAAACAAAACAAGAAATTAATGCAGATGAAATTAGAATATGATTCAGAACTGTATATGAATGTCACATGTCGCATGGAAGTTTACGTGGCAAGTGAATTACAGAATTGTGCAGTATTCAGTAGCATTTATTCTTCATATGCGGGTTTTTTACCGTTCCATTACTCGCACTCTCCTTTCAATTTGACTGATAAACAAATGGCTTGACGCACTCTTATCTCATCTCATCTCATTCACACCGACATTGATATTCAACATACACTCAACACAAATTAGGAAACGTGCGCTTGAGAGTAATAATAGAAATATTCTACATGATCAAGCAGGAATGAGATAGCTTCCTTTGAAAAACGATATTCCATGTAAAAAAAAAAAGATCCAAAAAGTAGTTTAAAATTGATTATTATTTTAA